GCTATAGTCATCAACTATAATTAAGAATAATCAGTATCCATCAATAGAAGAAGTAGAAAGAGGACCCCATATATCAGTGTGAATAAGTTCAAAAAAAGAAGTTGATTTGGTGTGACTAGAGAGATATGTTAAACATTTTTGTTTGGCAAAGGCACAAGCATCACAACCCTTAACAGAATTAAAGGCAATATCAGAATATTGAGAGGCCAAAATTTGAAAGACTTTATTTGAAGGGTGACCAAGTTTCATATGCCACAAATGACGAGAATCATAATGATTGGTAAAAACAAAAATGTTGTAAAAGAGAAAAATATGAGTCTCATACACTCAAAGTTGCATTTGTGGGAGAGATGAAATAGGCCTTGATGCTTTTTAGCTACTCCAATTGTTAGGAAGGTAGTTTTCTACACAAGAATACAATGATTTTGACAAAAGACAACAAAACAGTCAATAAAACTGATTAACTTGGAAATAGAAATTAAAAAAACCAAAAACTTAGGAACAAAATGAGTATCATGAAGAACAATATTTCCCAAAGTTATAGTGCCAGAAAAATGACCAAGAACAAAATCATGATTAGGTAATTTTACAGAAACCGGAGAAATAGACTTGAGATTAGAAAAAAATAAATTTAAAGGGACAAATGTGGTGAGTAGCATCACTATCTAAAATCAAAGAAAAAGGAAAAAACAGGACATGAAGATTGAATGGTGCATTGATGCACAATGGTTACATAGGAGGGGGTGGATTGTGACTGTTGTAGCAAAGCAAGAATGACTTCATATTGCTCCTTCGAGAAACCAAACTGAACATCAGTTTTATCAGTCTCCATGACAGAATTGTCAAGGCTAGCAGAGGATTCAGTTCCAGTCACATTTGCATAATACTTTGATTGAACAGTATTATGTTTATGATTGTTCTTATACCCTGGAGGAAGACCATGTTTGATCCAACAATTCTCGAAGGTGTGATTTGTCCGCTGATAGTGATCACAAAATTTTGAGCGTCCATTGGTTTTACTTAAGCGTTCTCGTCCACGAAGACTGGAGGAGCCCCCACGACTAGAGAAAGAAGTCTTGTTTGGAGTATCTTGAAAATTAAAATTTGCACGAGACTCTTGAGAGATGTGTATAAAGGAAGTAGTGAACTCACATTCTTGTTGAAGCACCAAAGAAAAATTCTTAGCAAGATTGGGCATGGGTTCCATAAGCATAATCAGACTTGAGAAAAATTATCATTAGGTCCACAAAGAAATTTGATGACAGAATCATCATTTTGTTCCTTTTGAATTTTCAAAATCAAACCACATTTGCAGGGAGAAACAGATGTGTAGAGAAGATCAATACGATATAGTGAGAGTTCTTTCCATAGAATTTGCAAACAAGTATAATATAATATTGAGAGATCGTAGAGTCACCTTTATTGCAATTTTGAAGTTCTTCTTGCAGATCAACAATACAAAATTTGTCACTACGAGAAAAACGTTGAAGTAGATCATTCCAAATGTCAGAGGTAGAATCCGTCCATATAAAAGATTGCTTGATGGATGACGTCATGGACCTTGTTAACCAAGAAATTACCATTTCGTTACAGCGTTTCCAAGCTTCGTGTAAAGCATCAGTAGCAAGCGGACAAGGAAGAATTCCAAGAATAAATATTTCTTTGTTATTAGTTTCAAGAGCCGCAAACATGTTATGTTTCCATTGTTGATAGTTGTTATCCATGAGTAAGGGAGTAACGAGAACAAAAGTAGGGTTTCCACCTGGATGGAAAAAAATAGGATGCGTAGGATTGACCAAGTGATAAGAGATATTGGTAGAAGTGGCCATGGCTAAGAAATATGGAATGTTTAATCTGATACCATGTTAGTTTTTTACAAAAGGTTAGAAAGAAAACTTCTTATTATAATTAGAGAAAAGAAGCTTCTGAATAGTACAAGGGGAAGGGGAAGAACGCTTGAATATGTAAAAAATCAAGCACGGACGAAGGAAAAGAAAGAAAAATAACATTTTAACAAACTAATGGAACAATAACATTATATTTGAACTTAAATAATTTATTAGTATCTTTTTAATGTGATAGAAGGTTGGTGGAATAATAGAATAAATTGTCATTATCATCTATAAACCAACTTATTATAGTTAACACAATTTCTTCCTCTTCTGACATCACCAAAGATTTAGTTAGGGTTTCTTCTGCATACCCAACCAAATTCATATTTATGAAAATACTTAGATCTCATAAACATTTACCCCTTGTTTGCATCTAGGTTTGTAGTAAAGACAAGGAAATATGAGAGCGGATTTGAAAAAAAATAATAATTTGGATTTAAAAATTTGGTATAATATGTATGAAAAGAGTAATGGACCCTCCATATAATTTGAAACTCACACATTAGAAGAGATTTAATTATTACACTTATACCAAAATTTATTCTATCATAAAAAAAACATACTTAAGTGCATAATTGATTATACCTCATTACATATATATGATTATATATTGACCTAATTGATTATGCTTTATGAATAATCAATTATGTCTAAAGAGTATAAAGTACAAAATGCAAATTTAATTATATTTTAATTTTTTATCACTTGAATTGTTACTCAAGTAAAATCTCCTATTTACATTAACAAATATATAAATAATATATTATTATATGAATAGTAGAAAATATTTATTATTATTATTATTATAAAAAGTTATATAAATGTAGTTTAATTAGATATTATTATTTGTGATAAGTAGATTGGTTATTGCAATAGTGATTTAAAAATTATATTTATAATATATATTTTTTAATTTTACAATATAGAACTCATATTAAGAATTATAAAAAGTTAAACTCTTATAATGATAATTATTTAATTTTGAATTATGAAAAATTAATTTTAAAAGTTTTGATTAATTGTGTTCTTTAAATTAAGTGGGATTAGTTTTATTATTTTCTTAATTTATTTAATATTCAAATAATTGTTTTTTTTAGAAGAATTTGTGATATGAAATAATTTTACAAGAAAATATTTTAGAAATATAAATAATTTTAGAATAGAAATTTAAGAGAAAAAATTATGATATTTTAATTTTTAGTCAAAATTTGATAAGATTCAAACATATTTTTATTGATATAATTTGTGAAGAGTTTAAATAAAAATATACTTAAAAAATAAGTTAAAAATCATTAAAAAGAACACATTAATTTATGTTATAAGATTTAAAATATGATTAAATTTTTATCTATTAAAAGTGTATTTATTTGTTAAATATGTAAATATATATATATATATATATATATATATATATATATTAAAAGATAATAATATAAAAATAACTAACTTATTTATTATATTAATATTTACATTAATACGAGTTTTACTATTACAAATATTTATATTATTTATTTTATCAAATAATTATTTAATAATAGATTATTTTCAATTTTAGTTTATATATATTATTTTTATTAAAATTATATAAAAATATTTTATTCATTTATTATTTTATCATATTATTTATTTATTGTAATTTATCAAATTAATCTTATGTCTATTATTAATTTTTTATTCTTTTTGTTTTTATTATTTTTTTTATTAATCCAAATAATTTTATTTATCATTTTTTCTCTCATTTTCTCGTAGAAATCTATTTCAATATAAACACAAACTCTACTTAACCCTAGAAATATTATAAAAAAAATGATAAGAAATTTTTGTAAATAATATAAAATTTGGCATATTAGTAAAAAATATAATAACTATATAGAACATCTTAAAAAAAATAATAGTATTTTTAAACTGTTATTCGAGTTTAGGATATTAGTAAGAAATATTATCTCACAGCTGTAACTTATTTTTTATGATAATAATTAATTTAATTAATAGTATATTCTTTTATAATTATATCAAAATTATTATTTTTTATTTTATTTTTAAAAATAATTACAAATAAAATTATATTTGAATTAAAAGTATTTATTGATCATTTTTTAATATGATTAAAACAATCTATCTTAAACAACTATAGATCAACCGTTTATAATTAACATTACAAGCTCTTAGTACAACCTCATCAAATGTTTATTATAATTTCTTCTATACACTCAATAAAATTTATAGTTATAAAAATACTTAAATCTTATAAAAGGTTGATTTTTACTTAGTCTTTAGAATATATAATATAATAAGAAAAATCATTTGAAATTTTATTTTAAATAATATAAAATTTAAAATAAACAAAATTATAATAATGATATGTAATATCTTAAAATATTTTTACTATTATCTAATGTGATTCTAATTTAAGATATCTAATTCCGGTATTTTCTCCACAATAATAAGAAATATTATTTAATAACTACTTTTAATTATTTTTTATGATAATAATAATAATAATAATAATAATTAATTTAACTAATAATTTACTCTTTATAATTATCATTATACAATACATATTAAAATTGAATATAATAAATAATATTATATTTGAAGTTAAATTATGTTTTAATACCATTGAACGTAGTGAAATAATAGAATAATCTGTCTTATCAACTATAAATCAACCAAATTATTATCATTGAAGATATTTATATCTTACATTACCATTAGAATATTTATAAAAAAATATTATAAGAAAATTTATAAATTTTTTAAAAATAATATAAATTGTATAAAATTTAAAATAAACAAAATTATAATAACTGTATACAAAATATTATTTTCATATTAATAAAAAAATATTATCTTACAATTATCTATAATTATATTTTTATAAGAATAATTAATTAATTTAATAATATATTCTTTATAATTATCTTTTATAATATATATTCAAATTGAATTTTATATTTTTTTTTCATATAATTATAAATAACTTGAAGCATTGGTAGAATAATAGAGCAATCTGTCTTCAGCGACCAAGAATAACACAGCTTATACCTAACGCGGCATCCTCTCCGGCATCATCAGAGACTCACTAGGGTTCCTTCTGCACTCGACCAAATGGTACGTTCCCAATTCCCATTCTCTCGTGAAACAGTTATCGGAATTTTCGACTATCTAATCTCATTTGACTTTGTGCTTTTTTATTCTTCCAATACGCAATGAAATCTCTTAACTATCTTTTACCAACTCTTTTAGGTTCTGCAAATTTTAATTATCATTAATTGTTAGTTAATTAATTATTTTTGCTTTAGGCTGATCCTGAGTTGGAAGCAATCAGACAGAGAAGGATGCAGGAGCTTATTGCTCAACATAGCGTGGTTAGTGATAATTGATTTTTCCTTTTTTTTTTTTTTTTCATCGTAGAGAGTGATAATTTGCTTATATTATTTTATTTTTGCTGGTTTATAGGGAAATCAACATAACCCTGAACAGGAGAAGGCTCAGGATGAGGCAAAGAGGTATTAGTTTATGAATATAGATGGTTATATTAAGCTGATTATTTTGCCTCACAAACTTGTCACATTTCATTTGTCTTTCTATTTTTTGGTCCTTGGAGTAAAACCACTTATTGATCGGATGAAAAAACAATTAATTTAGGGAGGCGGAGGAACGAAGACAGATGATGCTTAGTCAGATATTGTCTGCTGAGGCGCGAGAAAGGCGTAAGCAATTATGCTGTTTTAGTGAACATAAGCTCAAAAATGCTCTCTTGTTTCCTTGAAAACTTGGTTTGTTGACTGTTTGTCTTAAAAGTACATGGATGTTGTCTTGTGCTCTACTGCTAGTAGAAGATAAAAATATGAATGTAGAGACATAATGTTTATATGTTAATGGTGTATTTTCTTAAACTTTTTGTGTTTTGTATTTGTATCATATATGGTATTGTGAGATATTTGACCAAATGCAAAGTACTTAATCGATGCACACTCATGAAACAAATATATAAGATATTATTACTCGATATTCTATTTTCATTTCATTCTATATATTTTGTTGTGACTAAAGTCTACCACCAAATTATATACCAAAATCACACTATTGAAAGGATATATTTGTATATGTGGGGTGTAACTGGTAGATGTTGTGCCTAAATTTGTTTCCATCCAAAATACTTATGAGGTATCTGGTTTGGGAATCTTGAAAAGTGTTTCAAACTCAGTGATGGATTTAAGCACCGCCTACCAAAACAAAACTATCTTTGAAGACTGCTCTGGTATCGGTTACATTGAAAGTAGGAATTTCTTGCATTTTCTCTATCCATCAACCTTCTGTTCTCCTATTTCTCCTATCTTCGCATTCATGTGTTGTTGCTAAGTACCCTGTGAGAATATCATAGAATAATAGGAGTTAGTGCAAGTTTTTTTTCCCCTCCCTGTACATTTAAGATTCAATACTGCATTGTGGACTGTGTCGTATTGTTTTTGTGGATATTGAAGTTAAATATTTAGTTTTATTTTGTGAAACAAATAATGAATATGGAGTGTGGAATAGGAAAAATAGTGTTGTATGCAATGCATAAGGTGTAATAGGATTTATTTGTTTCAGTGGCCTTTTGATTTTTATTTGGACTTCATTAGTCATCTTGGTATTATTATTAAGGCTTTTAGTTATTAATTGGGCAGACATGATTATATTTCTTACATTATTTCAAATTGTTTCTATCTTTATGTGCAGTTGCTCGTATTGCTTTGGTGAAACCTGAGAAAGCAAGGGGCGTTGAAGATGTTATACTGAGAGCTGCTCAAATGGGTCAGATAACTGAAAAGGTATGTTGGATCTTGTTTTCTTCCGAGTCTTTCTTGTTCGTGTCACCAATTGTTGGCAATGTTCTTAATGTAAACTTAATGTACTTTATTGTATGATATATTTTTGCTTGGTCAGTGAAGTTGTAATTGTATCATTTATTTCTTTCACCAACTAGTAATAGGTCCTCGGTCTTATTGTTAAGATTCTAACATAAAACCAATTGACAATATGTGGAGTAGCCTAACATGTATTTAAATCATACCAAATGAGATGAGGTAGGCGATGTGAGACTTTCAACACGCTCCCTCCAACAAAGCCTGCTGGACCAGGCAAAGGGTACTTTCGACCCAATTAAATGGAAACTTTTGGCCCATGATAATAACCGGAAAGATGTTAGGTTTTGGCTCTGATACCATGTTAAGATTCTAACATAAAACCAATTGACAATATGTGGAATAGCCTAACATGTATTTAAACCATACCAAATACCAAATGACATGAGGTAGGCGATATAAGACTTTCAACACTTATAATTACATGCTACGCAATCAAGTGAAAACTGTTAATTAGGTTTAGGGTTCTCATCTTTCATGTGTTACTTAGTTGGAATATTAGTGTTGCTTCTTGTGGTAATCACTTCACTAAGTATATAAAGGGATTCCCAGTGCACGAGGCTCCCAATTAGTGGCGTTCGGTGAGGATAGATGCTTGCCCCTGCAAATGAAGAAGTTGTTTCCTAGATTTGAACTCCGTGGCCTCCAGGTCACAAGGAAACAACTTTATCTTTGTGCCGAGGCTTACCGTGGTAGATATAAAATTATAACAATTTTATCAAATATTAATTTATCTACCATGCCTCTAACACACTCATGGCACATTTAGGTTTCTGAGGAAAGACTCATATCACTTCTGGAGCAGATAAACAACCAAACGGCAAGGCAGACAAAAGTTACAGTAAGTTGTAGAATATTTGTTACATTTTCTGTTCTCATTTTCTGAAGTATTTACCAAGCGATCTTTTTGTCATATCAGATACAGAGGCGTCGAAGTGTTCTCGAGGATGATGATTAACTTCCACTGTTTCTTCAATCGGTCTGCCTTGAGTATTGTTTTTAAGTTTATGTATTTTAGCGACAAAATATTGTAAAAGTGGATTGTTAAATTTATCTGTTTCAGTTTGAAATTCTGGTTGTCTTGTCATACCTCCTAATTAAGCTATATAATACTTAAAAGCTTTTATTACTTTGACACATTCATTTGTAAAACAATTTCTAGCATGCGAATGACATCTCAAATTACATGTTATAATGTTTCACGAAATAGTTTTAATTTTTTTTTTTGCTATCACAAATGCTGCATTCGATGACCCAGGGCAGAGGATCATTGTGGTTTTTGAGGTTCAAACTCGCTTAAACTGATATTTGTTATTCCAGCGTGAGAGAAGTGCACAATAATAATCATGGATTAGAAAATTAACAATTAAGACTCTAATTAGTTTCGATTTTATTATGTGATTTTATCATAATTTCAGTTAATCACTTTTTAGTTAAGAATTACTACTTATTATATTCTTTAGAGAACACTTTTCTCATTTTACTAAAACCCAAATAAGATGGATTATGTATCAAAAGGAGTATAAATTTACTTGTATACCCCTACATACATCTAATTCTGCAACCGGTACTACGCATTTAGCTATCATAATCAAAGTTTTTTTTTTTTTTAAATTGGACTTTACAAATATACGAGTTTTGAGTTTAAAGTTTTAATCGGAATTTAATTAAGATTTTATTAAATTTAATAAAATAATGTTTTTATATTATAATAAGTATATAATAAATTTATTAATAATATTAAAAAAAAGAAAAATAGTGAAGATTATTATGACTATAAGTTAAGTTATAAATCAAAGACGGTGGATAATAATAAAAATAAGAAAAAAATAATTAAATTGATGTAATTTATATAAGATAAAAAAATTAAAATAGATTGTATTTTTTATAAAAAAATTATATTAAAGAAAGTTTCATTTTATCAAAATTGGTTTAATTAAAAAATTCAGTTAATTTTTTCTATTTTACCAATTTCGTACCGATTTTTTTTTGATTTTGTCCTAATTTTATTAAAATCTGATTATTTGAAAGTAATAAATTGATTTGTAGATTGGTTCATATTAGACCTGTTGAATCAGCTAATCCGATTTAATTTTCAAATCAATGATCATAATTATTATCTTTTCGTAAATCTCTTTTATTATCACAATGAAAAAAGATTTTTGTTTTAATTTTTATATATTTTTTTCTAGCAAAAACCTTTTGTTAAGACTTCAAACTAGAACACTTAATTTTCGAATATTTTTTATAAGGTTTAATTTATATTGTTTAGATGTTGTCTTTTTTATTTTTTTTAATATATTTATCCCTTACTTCCTTAAAAAAGATGTTATTTGTTATTTGGATCTTTAAATAATAAGTTATTAAGTAATCTTCTAACTAGATTTTTGGGTAACAATGTCTTGTAAGTTGATTCTAAATATTAGTCTACTATTGATCTTAGTAGAATGCTCAAATGTAATGTTATCTTGCCTATAAGACAATTCATTTATCTCTTAAAGGCATTCAAGGATCGAATGATCCAAAACCTCCCGTCTTGAGTTATGAATAATGAGACTTATATTTAAAGATATTGACAATATTGGTTACCCACAAAGAGATGAATTATATGGTATACAACTCTTTAGTCTTGAGTTACAGACAAATCAACTCATTATTAAAGACATTGATAACATTTGTTACCCTTGACAAATGTGTTTTCATTGTGTCGGAGAATTTTGACCTAAATACTACAAAAACAACTAAGGTATTCTTTTAGATATTCATCGTTCACTACTTTACACCAAATAGATATTCGATTTTCAATGATTTGGCTTTGTTGGTGGCAAATTGTGTTGCAAATAGCTTGGAGAAATCTTCCACGTTCTAAATTCATCGTCAAGCAAGCTACTGAAGCAATCCAATGTCCCACAAACATCTCACAATGTAAACATTCACATCTATCATTGGTCAACATTGAGTGCGAAAGGTTTTTAGGTGTAAGAATTCTAATATCCAGTGAAGGGTATATTTTTGGGACTATGTAATGGCCAAGAATAAGGCCACTCAATACTTCAACTAAAAGAGGTTGAAAATATACAAAAGTGTTGGAGGGTGAGTCTCGAATATCTTATTATGAGCTATTTAATATTGCAACACCTATTATAGTTCATTTTTTTTACAAAGTTATTCTTATGAATGTAAATAATAATCAATTATGTGTTTAGACTTGTCACTTATCCATTATAAGTGCTATTGAGTAATACTATCCTTCTCTATGTTTCACAGGTGATATGAGTGCACTTTTTAAGTTAAGTAAATAAGGTGTTTGATACAATTTAGATGAGAAAACCAAAGAAAAATTTCCACTGGACAAGAAGATAATCACTTATCTAAATGTGAAGGTGTATTTCCAAGGATTTAAGAGAGGAAAAGAGATTAATAAAGCATAACAACACTAACAAACAAGGGATGGACGAAATGCAGTAAAATAATAATAATAAGAAGAAGAAAAGGAAGTAAAATGGAGAAGAGAAGAAGTGAGGGTGAGGATGGAGGGGTGCACACCACTTGGGAGATGGACTAATCCAAGATAAGTGGTGGTTGCCGCCACTTGAACCAAAGTTTAAGATAATATTGAGAGAAAAAGAACACTCAAAGAAAAGATCTCTCAAACTTTCATTCAATTTCTAACCATTTATAAGAGGTGGAGAACCTTCTATATATAGGCATGGATGAGGGACATGGAGGGAATTACACTAGGGATTCTAGAAGTTTTGTGTTGAAAGCAATGAGGGAGAGATTGATGGCAATGTGAAACATGTCCCTACATTCCCAAGAGATGATTTTGATGATGATTTAAGTCAACAATATTCAATACTCAAGCAAGCTAAAAATATGATTATTCAAATCATTCAAGATTCAAGCAAGCCTAAAATGATTCCTGAAGACTAGATAGAGTCTTAGAATACTGGATATGGAGGTACAAGTTGATGAAGTAGTATTATGTATAAGCCTCCAAAGCACAAGTGTAATAAAATTTTGTAACATGACATTGTTTACTTTCATAATCAATTATGATGCATCAAAAATAAAAAAATGATTTTCTCTTTGTCATAATCGATTATACTGGTAACATAATCGATTATGGCAGTTTAAATTTGAAAAATATATCTGTTTTGAAGAATAAATATTTTGAATACATCCTGATTTTTCTCTAAGAAAGTATTAATGATCAACGACTATTTTCTGATGCTATTTTCCTATTTAAATGAGTTTTGATAAAAAATCAAAACACACAATTACAAAATTCGAAAATAAAATTTTACATTCATTCAGTTTTAAGAAAAGAATTATGAGAAAGACAATAGAGATATTTTACACCTTTTGAGAAAATTCTCTTCTCTACTGTCTTCTGCACTTTCATTGTTAATCACAGTTGTTCTTGGAGGTTGACATTCTACAGGTTTTTACAATTTGTTGTCTCCATTACCCAGGTGTGACTATTCTTATTTTATTGTCTTTATCTTTTCTAGGGCTTAGAAAGTTGATATGATTCTAACAATAACAAAAATTTGGTTTGATTAATTTTGGAAAACTCTTATTTATTTTAATATCTCTTTCATTGCATTATTATGATTGAAAAACTATGACAAACAATTTAAAAAAAATTGCACTGTTTGAAAATAACGTTATGATCTTCTTTTGTTGCATGTTGAATGATGACAGGTGACTCTGTAATTAGCTAATTGGAATTCACTGTAGAGGTGAGAAAATGCAAGAGAATAAGATTCTCCATAGAAATGAGTCTTGTGTTTCCAAACATTGATAGTTTTATTTCATATATTTATGATGATTACATTCATAAATAATATTTTGCTTTATTTATGTTTTGTGTTGTAATTTGCAAGGATAATGTTGATGTAAGACTAAATAATTCTCTTAACAAATCTTTTCATGTTAATTTTTGGTTTTAGCTTAGTTTTTTATTTGTATAGCAAACAATTTTTTTTATAATCATTTAATTATGTAATAAAATATATAATAAAAATATTTTTTTGTCAATTTCATATATATATATATATATATATATATATATATATATATTTCTTCCAAATTTTCTTGAAAAAATAACTTGATAAGAAATTATCTGTGAATCTAAAATTAACAAGAAATTTCCTACGAATATAAAATTACCAAGAAATTATTTGTAAATTTAAAATTACTTCCAAATTTCAAATTTGTAAAAATTTATAAGTAAATTTAAATTGATAAGAAATCACACATAAATTTAAATTGTAAGAAATTACATGTAGATTTAAATTGCAAGAGATTAAAAAATTACTTACAAACTTTTTCACATAAATTTTTTAGAAAATTTGTGTAAATATTAAATCCCTGTATAATTTATTATCCATGAACTAATTATGTGCTAATAAAAATTGGTATGAAAATTTGTAAAAATCTTTTTTTTCTGTGAATTTTTACAAAAATTTGGTAAAACAAATCCCATAAAAATTAAAAACTTATAGTAGTGCATATTGATATAAGATTAAACAATTCTCTTAAACAATCTTTTCAAGTTAATTTTGATTTTAACTTAGTTTTTTTAGTCTAATAAGCAAGCAAAACTTTTTTCATAATCATTAATAAAATAAAATATATAATAAAGATAATTTTTTTGTCAATTTCATATATATATATATATATATATATATATATATATATATATATATTTTAAAATTATACAAAATTTCTTGAAAAAAAAAACTTGTGAATTTAAAATTGACAAGAAATTTAATCTAAAATTATTATTGTAAATTTAAAATTATTTGTGAATTTAAAATTAGTAAAAATTTACATATGAATTTGAATTGGTAAGAAAAATACATGCGAATTTAAATCGCAAAAAATTATACCAGATTTAAATTTGTAAATATTACTTAAAAAATTTCACAAGGAAACTTTTGCAAATATTAA